GGAAGTTCCAACTCACAGGGGAGAATTACAGGAAAGCGATACAGTTCCTACACAATAAATACGGCAACCGGGAGGCCTTAATTAACGCGCTGGTAGAAAAATTAGATAATTGCTCCCTACACGGCCAATCTATAAATGACCAACGCCGCCTCCTGGAAGAATTGCAGGTGATCACCACCCAACTAGAGGAAAAGGGGGAAGAAGTCAATAGCTCATGGCTTATCAAGAAGATTCTATGCAAATTCCCTGACTCACTCAAGCGGAAAGTGATAGCGAAGAAGCAGGGTATTGCTTCAACAACCCCCTTCACAATGAGTATGCTCTATCAGCTTATTGATGAGGCAATTTCCACCGAAGAGCTGCTTCTAACCTTCACAGAACCGAGACCTAAAGTAGCAGTTAATGACAATATTACCTCAAGGCAAAAGTTGAGGGTCAAACGTCCGATGAAAGGCGTTTGCATGTTTTGCGGAGACACTCATTCTTCCCACAGCTGCAATAAGTACTCCACTCCGCAAGAACGCTCTACTTATTTGCGACGAAATAACCTTTGTCTGATATGTGCATCTCCAGCCCACAATACTAACCAGTGCAAAGGGCGAAAGTGTTTCCGATGTAACGGACCTCATCATACCTCTTGTTGCTTCAAAGGGAATCCCAACCACCCCTCCAAACCACCCGAAACCCAGAGGGACTCAGGCCACCCAATAACTTCATCATCCAAGAAAACCAGTGGACCGAACAATAAGGGCAATAAGTCGACGAAGGTCAAGTCACACGTCATCATTACCCCGGAAAACAATAGCTGCCCAGTAACTCCATCGGTTGACACATCGGGCGAAACAGTGATGCTCCAACACCATACGGTTCCTAATAAGACTCTACTGAGACACCCATACCTACCAATAGGGAAAGTAACAATAGTCGACCCAACCACCCAAGCGTTGACACAAGTTAGCGTCTTATTAGATACCGGGGCAGAACTGTCATTTATAGACAGTTCCCTAGCAGAACGATTACAGCTACCAATTCTGGAAACGAAAGTGGTACAACTGATGACCTTTGGATCGAATGATGTGAAGAAGACTACATGCAATCGGGTGTGCCTAAAAGTTTGGGATGCAGAAGGAAATCCTCATGAACTAGACTTATTCACCCACAATATCTTGACTAGGTCACTAGAGACACCGAGCCTACCGGACACCGACGTCGAGTTCATTCGCTCCTTAAATCTACCCATCATGTGGGAGCCCGACCAGAGGAAAGTCACACCATCCATACTTTTGGGATGCGACCAACTATGGTTATTTATGAGAGCCAACCAACCTTCAATACCCTTACCATCAGGGATGCATGTCCTACCAACTACTTTGGGATACCTAATCTCGGGAAGACCCCAATCTCAAGGGGAAAGAGTGCTGCAAGTCTCACATCCCATTCCAGAGAATACAGACCAATGGATGAACCTTTGGGCAATGGATGTAGTACAGCAATACGCGATACATTCTGAAGAAAGTGAGGTATCCCAAGAAGAAAAGGATAAATGGGAAAAGTTCTGGACATTGGAAGCGGCAGGAACTGAGGAATTTACAGGAACAGAAAAGGAAGCTCGTGCCGAACAGGATACGCGAGTATGGGAACGGTTTAATAACACAATACAGCGTCGACCTGATGGGTACTACGTGCGCTTGCCTTGGATTGAACAATATCCTTACTTACCGGACAATAAAGCGCTAGCCTATAGACGATTAGTTAACGTGTGGGCATCAATAAGCAAAGATCAGGCGCTTTTAGAGCAATACGATAGCGTTTTCCGAGATCAGCTTCAACAAAACATCATTGAACCGGTAGAGGACTCGTCATGCGGCACTACGGGTCAACAAGTTCACTATATCCCCCACCAGCCCGTGATTACTCCACATAAGGCGACAACAAAATTGAGAATTGTCTTTGATGCTTCAGCGCACTATAAGAACTGCCCTTCTCTAAACGACGTGCTGTATAGGGGACCGGTCATACTACCCCTCATCTATGGAATCCTATTACGCTTTAGGGTTGGTAAGATAGCGGTTATTTCGGACATTGAGAAAGCTTTCCTTCAGGTGCGCTTGCAAGAACAAGATAGAGATGCGACGAGATGTTTTTGGCTCCGCGATTATAAGTCCCCTCCTTCATTCAATAACACAGTAACATTCCGTTTCACGAGGGTTACATTCGGCTTGAAATCATCTCCTTTCTTGCTAGCGGCCGCTATCCTTTACCACCTCAATACCTATCACACTGAAGATGATTTGATTCGAGACATAAGAAAGAACATGTACGTTGACAACCTTGTGCTGACCACGGATACTTTGGAAGAGGCAGTACATGTGTACCGTAGGACGAAACAGATGTTTCAGGAAATTAATATGAACCTGCGCGAATTTTCGTCCAATGACCACCTCCTGGTATATGCAATAGACGGGAAAGATAGAGCCATAGAAACCCATCCGAAAGTGCTAGGTCTCTTGTGGAATGTCAATAGCGACACCATTTTAGCATCCTGTCACTTTCCGGACACGCAATATGTGACCAAGAGAACAATTACGAGTGCAATAGCATCCATCTACGACCCCCTAGGTTGGATCCTCCCACTTCTCCACAGGGCGAAAGTCTTTCTGAGAGAACTATGGAAGGAACAATATACTTGGGATCAAGAGTTACCCATGGACAAAGAGAACGAATGGGTCAATATAACGGAAGTGGTGGAAGGGTTTGAAAAACAAATACCTCGCTATTGTGCTCCCAAAGAGACGGAGACCATTCTGGTCACATTCGCAGATGCCAGTTCCTCTTCCATGGCAGCGTGCACCTATCTATGCCATGACAATACGTCATTCCTCGTTATGGCAAAGTCGAAGCTACCATCCCTTCAAGTAAAATACACTATTCCCAAATTAGAGTTAAACGCCATGACTCTAGCCATGAGGCTCTGCAATAGTGTATTTACCGAGCTTAGAGACACCCTCAATATTAGGGAAGTTTACATTTTTTCCGACTCCCAAATTGTCCTGGGTTGGCTCAAGAAAAAACCGGAACGCGAAGTGGGACCTTTTGTTTATAGGCGCCTTGTAGAAATACACAATATAGCCCACCATATCACGACACAGCGATGTCCAGTCAGAATTGGCTATATTGCATCACAGGAAAACCCGGCAGATTGCGCTACTCGTGGAACGACAAAAGAAGAATTGCAAGACCATATATGGTGGGAAGGCCCTCACTTCCTTCGATACTCACCCCTCCAGTGGCCGGGCCAAGCAGACATTTTCCAGTACCCCCTCGATGACCCAGAAGCTTTTAGCCCAGACACAATCAGGGAATCTGAGGGAATTCTTACCATTACCACCAGGAGGAACAATAACGTAGAACTACTCCATCCTACTCAAGTGCAGACATGGACCCAAGCCAAAAGAATTATAGCGTACGCCCTCCGTTTTCTCCGCATACTGGTCAAACGCATTAATTCAAAGGGCGACAAGTTCTTGACTCTATCTGCAATAACAGGTCAATATCACCCATATAAGATAGGGTACCTGACTGCCGCTGAGGTTCGAACTGCGGAGTTAGTACTGCTACGTCACCACCAAACAGTGCATGTTACTCAGCAGTTAATCACTTCGCTGCAGCAACTCAATATCCATATAGATGAACAGGGTATATTCCGTTGTTACGGACGGCTTGGCAATGCGCGCTTGGACAATAACACCAAAAATCCTGTCCTTGTTATCCAAAAAACTCTCCTAGCAGACATAATCATAAGGGATGTCCATCAACAAGGGCACCCTGGGGTCAACCATACCATAGCCATGGTTAGGCAGGAGTTCTGGATACCCCAACTACGCTCCCAAGTTTGCGCTATGATAAGGAAATGCTTCCAGTGCCAAAAGTTCAATAATCTACCCTATAGGTACCCAGCGCAAGAAGATTTACCGAAAGAGCGGGTCATCCGATCGCACCCGTTTCAACATGTTGGCCTTGACTATTTTGGTCCCCTCACAATAAAATCGACAATAGAAGGGCACGCGAAGTGTTATGGAGCAATAATTACTTGTAAGACCACTCGACTCATCCACATAGATGTCGTTGCGGACATGACCACAAGAGCCTTCCTCAATATGCTCCGCCGTTTTTTCGCACGGCGTGGCATACCTCAATCCATCACTAGCGATAACGCGCCGACGTTCGAGTTAGGTGAAACTATTCTAAAAGAGTGCCTTCATGCCGCCCAGAACGACCCGAACATCTCGCGCGAATTGAGCAATAAAGAAATAGAGTGGAACTACAATACGCCATTTGCCCCATGGCAGGGGGGATTCTATGAGCGACTCATCAAATCTATCAAGCAGTGCCTCTACAAGACAATAGGCCGCTCAATACTCTCCCTCGAAGAGCTTGCGACGACTTTGATTGAGATCGAAGCTCTACTCAATACGCGCCCACTCACCTATGTAACTGGTGAACCGCATAAGGACCTGATACTGCGACCTATAGACTTCCTTCAAAAAGAAATTCATGTTTCTTTCCCACTCGAAAAGGCTTTCGAAGACGTAGAAGACCCGGAGTACCTTCCTTCTGCCGAGTTAGCTGTTTTACAAACCAAAAAAGAGGCCGTGAAAGCGTTAGAATCGTCTTGTAAACTCACGGAAAAATTTTGGAAAGCGTGGCAAACTGAATACTTAACGGCCCTTAGAGAAAAACACACCCTCAATATCGGGAGAAAACGGGGCTGTTTGCAATATCCTGAGGAGGGAACGGTAGTTCTGATAAACGATCCTGTCTTACCTCGTCACTCTTGGAAAATGGGCATGATCCACCAAGTAGTACCAAATGCTCGAGGAACTGTACGAGAAGTGGTTATACGTTTACCTTCTCAACGACTAATTCGGCGACCGATTAACCTTGTAACCCCACTAGAGTTGGAAGAGCAAGGGACTGAACAAGTGGAACCTTCTTCAGATTCCCAAAGAGAAGAGGCAGAAAGTTCGGCACCAGTGTCACCTCAACCTCAGTATGAAGCTGCTCACGAACAGCAAGAGACAGCTCCACGGTACAACCTTCGCAAACGAAGACCTACCAATTACGCGGAAGATATCGATGAGCTAGGCGCATTTGGGCAAGGACCATCGCGCAATATGTTTATGATATCGACGTTTCTGCAGTTATCCATAATTCTTCTTCTCGCTTTAACACTAACTGAGGCGAACTTAGTAGCGAAAGTTCAGTCGTTGCGATCCATGATATGTATACCAGGTGGAGTACGGCTCACATCTGAGTACAGAAATGCGTACGAAATTTGTGCAGACCAGTACTGTGTTCACGTTGAAGAACCACAATACAGTGAGAACATATCATTCCCACCGGAAATCATACTACATGAACACTCAGTACAATGGAAGTTTACGGACAATGAAACTGTCGGTACCATGGAAATGACTTGCCCTCCCGGTCCATTCTGCCAGTCAATATCGTGCACCTTTTGCTCAGCAAATATATTAAACCCCGAATGCTGGCCAAAAAGCGCTATTCTTGCAACAACAATCATGTTATACTGCTTAATCACAGGATGTTACGTCTTCCTGTACGTTCCAATAGTTCTCGGTCATCCAGTAAGATTCGCTGGCCGCATAGCTTGGGCAATAATCAAATGGGCGATTCGCGGTTTTCTATCCGTGAAGGGTAGACCAAGAAACTTCCCTCGACGGCGTTTGGTAGAAATTATTGCAATATCAACAACAGTCCTCAATATAGGATTGTCCCATCAATGCCAGGAAGTTAATCTCTTCACTCATCACTCCATTATCTGCGCAGGTGGGCCAGACAGTAGTTGTCGAGTACAGCTATCGGAGGTGTTTAAAATAAACCCCTTCAAACGGGAAGCATGCCTTCGTTTGTCGCAAAATGATACGGTAGTACATGAAGTAAGGATGCGGTGGAAATCGTTACTGCTTTCCTGCGAACCAGTGACAGACCTCTTCACTCGAGATACGGTTCATAAGGTAATTGATAGTAAACGCTGCCCGCATAGCGGATCCTGCACAGGAGAGAAATGTGCGGACATTAATGCTTCCAGCTTACTACCCGAACTAGCACAAGGAAACCAATATCCAGGCAATACCGCATGCGTAGAATCTTGTGGTGGCCCGGGGTGTGACTGCTTTTTCTTGAGTTCGGGATGTCTTTTCTATCGAATATACTTAGAGCCGGTCAGTAACGAAGTGTTTGAAATATTTCATTGTAATAGATGGACGGAAGCCGCCAAAGTAGAATTGACGCACTTCGATGACGCAATTGGAGAACCCACATTGACTACGAAACTACTTTTACCCAATGTTCCCGTTCAGTGGAAGGCCTTCACCATTACTCTCACCAATATAGGGTCTCCTCCTATACCTCTGCTTAACACTCAGTTCATCACCAATGGTAAAAGCACAGCTCTTTGGAAAAATAATATCATTCCACCACTGAGATGTGCAAATTTTAGTAACGCAGAGATCCTAGCATGTGATGTATTTGAAGATTGCACATGCTGGCCAGCTGAGATGACGGCTAATTGTAAATGCAGAGACCTTCCAATAACGGCGTGGTTGAGTAAAATCAACAATCTACTACCTGCTACATTCCCATCAATATCGTTGCGAATGCATCCACAGTCGAAAGTGCAGGCAGCAGTTACTAGTATGGTGACTTCAGAAATCATACTGTCATTCCAAGGCACATTGAGGACTGAGATACTAGTGGAAGATGCGATATGTACGGTCACTACAGAGGAACTAAAAGGGTGCTATAGTTGTTCAAAAGGTAGTTCAGCCAAAGTACTATGCAAAGCATCTCGAAACAAAGTCCGGGCTGAAGTTGTTTGTGATTCTGTAGCATTTTCAATACCTTGCAATATCACTGGGATCGCCTCAGTTTTGCGCTTCAGCTTTTCACAAGCACGAAACAACCTTCACTGTTCCGTTTCTTGCGGACAATTAAGCACCTCATTCGAAATAAGTGGCGTTCTTAAGTTTACCGCTTCGGCCCAGGGGATTGTAGAGCAATGGCTGAGGGGAGAGTCAATATCTAACTCAGAAAGCCCCTGGCCTGATTTACGACACATTGCGTCAGTATTTTTGCAGTGGTACAAAACCCTAGCAGCAGCAATGGCGGGGTTAATCATCACCATTGCGCTTACCTATCTATTCTTGCTTACGTGTGGCTCTAAAATTTTGGGGTGGATCCTTCGCACTACGGTAAAAGTTGTCAATACCATAATTAAATCTACATTTATAGGAATTAAGAAAATACTGTGCATTAGGCCCAGAAGGCACAGTAAACAACACTGATCACAAAAAGTTCAATAATTAGCAGATAGCGATATCTACGACCCTCAAATTCCTTGTATATAGCTGTACATTATATATAAGCAATATTAGTTAGCTCTTTACTCCAATATTCTTTCTTTCAGATTCCACGTCATGCCAGAAGAAAGTTTCTACTTCAAAGATTTTTCGCTTTCTTGTTGATATTCAACAAAACCCAGTTCCACTAGATCTGAGAATCGATCTGTGCTCGACATGGCAAGAACTCAAAGAGCAATATAAGCAAGCAAAGGAACTGGATGTATCCTGGCTTCGACATCTGATTACCACCACGTGTTCCGATGCCCACCCGGGAGAGCTCGTCCTGCTCACCAATGCCTTTCTCAGGACGGCCATCACAACAAGAGATAGCCTTCTACGACTCGCGCAACGCTTCGTGCTTCTTGACGGAATTTATCTCACGCTATG